TGATGTCAGGGGGTGTGGCATATGCTAATGAGTTATGCTAATGAGTTCCCCTAGCTCTTTTTCTACGAAATGACCCCTGAGAGATTGGCTAATGGGTGGGAAAGAGATAAAGAAGCAGGACATGGAAAGAGCCCATGGGGGGGGGGCTTTCAAGGATGGGTAAGATGAAGTGGGATACAGGGGGAAAACAGATGCTCCTTCTGCAAGTCCTTGCAGGACCCCCGCTTGTCCTTTACTATTTCTGAGCTTACAGTCCATAACTGGGGGAAAGCATCAAATTAACTGACCTGTAACAGTAATATTGAAGAAGATGGAGTCACCGCTTGCATCACACACAAATTCTCCTGTGTCTTGCACCCGAGCTGAGGGGATGACCAGTCGGTGGTGGGATCCTTCATTCTCCAGAAGAAGGTCCTTACCCACTTCCACCTCTTCCCCATCTTTGTACCAGTGCACAGGAACACTGGGGCGGGACAGCTCACAGGCCAGCACCACACGCTCTGAGGCCTGGTAGGCGTGGGCTTTGTCTGCATTGGAGTACACAACCTGCACAGGTTCAGAGAGAGAGAGAAATGGAAAATGAGGCTTAGGAATCAGAAAGCCAAAGTATCATTGCAGAGCAATCATTCCAGAACTGTGTGTGTGCTGGGACACATTAGCATGCTGGAAGAAATTAATAAAATAATGGATATCTCCTATGAGTCCAAAGTGCTCACCCACAAAGGGTTGCCAACCCCATTTTTATACAAGGTGTGATTGGATCATTCAGTCAGTCCTGATACAAAGACACAGCAGTTACCTACTTTTGCAGGAGGCTTCCTGCTATACCTCTGTAAGAGTCACTGCTTAGGCTTTCTTCCAGTCAAGAGCCATGCCCCAAAATGTGGCTCATGCAGAAATACAAGGACTAGATTCCACTGAAGTTAGGTAAATCTTATTCTTACAAATTCTAAAAATAAACCTTTTGAACTGCAAAATTCAATTAATAAAAAAACATTCTTCAGCTACTTTAAGATTGAGAAACACTGTAATTCTGACCTGCACTAATAGCAGGGGTCATTTCATAGAAAAAGAGGTGCAGGAGCTCATTAGCATAACTCATTAGCACAACTTATTTGCATATGCCACGCCCCCTGACATCACCGAAGTGTGTCAGAAAGCAACACCCACCACTCAGGCTCCACTGGACTGTTCTGGATTGCTAGCTATTGGGGGGGGGGGACGTGCAGATCTGTCCTCGCAGAGGAGGGAGAGCTTGCACCTGAATAAAACTCGGTCTTTAAGGTGCCACTGGACTATTTTGGATTGCTAGCTATTGGGGGGGGGGGCCGGGCCGATCTTCCCTCGCAGAGGAGGGGGGTCTGCCTGAGGGCTGCTGGGAGCAGAGGGTGGGGCTTGTTGCATGTGCCCGCCCCCTGGGCTCTTTACTGCCGGAGCTCCACTCCTGTGTGCTCCTGCAGGAAATGATCCCTGACTAATAGGATGTGTCCTTTAGTCCCCACTTGGATCACAATGACATCTCTCACACATTTTTGTCTTAACTTAGGAAGGATGGCTCCAGAACAAACTAATTTATGCAGTAGCCAAATTGCTTGCTCACAACTGTAATGCCAGTAGCTCCCAAACGTAGCATTTTTGCTCACAAGACTTCACAGCTTATAGGGAACAATGCTTATAGGCCTTTCACAGGCAACTGTAAAGGAGTC